TATGCAGAAAGTTTCTCGGAGGGCGAATAATTACGATTTGCTCTTAATTTTGAAGTAGTTTCGATGCGATTGTTTTGGATGTAGAGTGATAAAAAATGATAAATTGAAGCAATGTCACTAATTGGACCGTCGACGTTTGGTGTGCTGACGAGTGCGACGATTGCGCTGACGTTCTCGTTGGCTGATAAGGCGATTAGTTGTACACACTGCATGGTGCTGGGCTGCTTGCAGACTTTTTTCACTTGTATCATCGCATTCTCGAGAATACTGGCCATTCTTTGATTTTGGTTATTTGTTATGATTGTTTGTCGTTATCGATGTCGTTCTGTTATCGTTTATTGTTATTATCAATTGTCCACCTCTGTTATTATTGTTAATTGCATTTGTCAATTATCAGCGCATGTCTCAAGTTCAGTTTCACCTTTAAGATTCTTCGAATCTTAACTTTCATCATAAATTTCGACAGCTTTCACTTTTGAAGAAGATGCAATATTCTGATCGAACACCTAATTGCCATTATTTGTTGTTTGATGTTTTAAATGTGTATATAAAAGATGTATTCATTTTTTGGTAAAGTAAATGTATTTTATGTTAGATTAACAAAGCTGCTAGATTGGAAGCGTTACAGTGCACATTTTTTAACAGTGATAAGAATGATGAATCAGATAACAGTATCATGGAGAGATGGATATACAGTAACTTGTCGAGTTAAGCAGATGCGCGATGGAAGTTTTACATTAAACGTCAAGTTCTCTATCAGTAATGAACGGTGGTGTTTAATCAAAACGGATGCTTATTCGTGCCACTATACATTGATTAGCAAGTGCACAAGTTGAACGACACCAATTAACTAACATTCACTTTGGAGACCGACCACCAGAAAGCGTTAGTCATTGATCGGAGCAACAGTGGAAACGAATGAAAGTTGAGTGTGAATCGCACGTCTGTCAATACATTTGCCCTTGTTATCCGTTCACTTCTGATAGCTCTCATTCATTCTTTTGCTCTTTTTCTACCCTTTCCTAAGACATTAAAACTTTTACGCATTCTTAAAACCGAAAAAAAATCAGCTGAAATGATGATATTCACTAGTCGTNGAGCAGACAGATGACTGATGGTAACCGTGGCGTTTTATTTTTGTATCGTTCTCGCGACGAAGAACTTTTCTGATTGCAGTTTTGTGTGGTGATGATGATAATTTCAGCTTGCACGGTTCATGTGTTCTTCAGATGCATGCGTATTGTTCAGTTGCTGTTATTGTTCAATATCTTTCATAATACTAACATAACACCATTGACTAGAATTGCCATCGCTAACAATTAATGAAGAACATTCTTTAAAATGCCATTACTCGAAAATAATTTCAAAAATTCATCAAATCCCAATCCAATGGAATTGTCCACACATTTACCATTCTCGAAAAGTTTTATTGATGAAAAAGAACAGTATCATTTCAAAGAATGGTTTGTTCCATTTCAGTATGTCTACATTTGTCGTTTTTGTTTGAGTTGGAATCCTGGGTGATATGACTTTGCTGTTTTTAGTAGCGAGCATCTGTTTATGGCAATGAGAATGCATTTTTTTAAAACGAAGCAGTAGAGTTGTTCAATGGAATGTGATGTTTTGTAACATTAAAATTTCAAGCCAGTAAAAGTGTATGGCTTTACAAAAGCATTCCGAATACAACTTTATATCAGAGCGCATTGTGTAAATAGCAAATTCAGTATTATGTAAATAGAGAAGGCCTGCAATCACCGCCATCTGACAAAAATGATCAGAACAAAGCGTTTAGGTGGTCCATGATTTCCCTTCCAAATTACACAAGCAGGCATGATTCATTTCCTTCTTGCGTTACTCATCTTTCCAGTCCTCTGAAAATTATATTCATGGCAGGAGAGCTGGCTGTCATTTCTCGGTGACTAGATGCAACAATACTGATACAACCAATAAATTGACTTGATTAAGTGAATAATGCACGCAAATAATGATCGCAATCAACTGAACAACCGTTTCGCAGGTATCCAAGAATGGGTGGTGCATGTAGCTTGAATAGTTTATATCCGGTTCAGTCAAATGCATTCAACAAACATCCACAGTACCATCATACCGATACTTGTACTCAGCAATCGTTCGGTCGAATTCATTCGAATACTTTTGACGCGGTCTGTTTTCATTATTCTTGACTTGCTTACAGTTAGTATCAATATTGTTTCGCAGTATCATTATTGTCATTACGAACAATGATTAGTTTTGTTATTATCAGGATTCATTGATTTTTAAAAGTTATTTTCAAAACTTTGATATCCGGTCACGACAAAGAAAGATGTCGGAAAATCTTGATATGCTGTCGCTATCAATCTATCAGAGAAATTATCGATGACAGGATCAAAGAACCACTTTCTTGTTATCAAACAAGCATTTTGAAAAACTTATCCAGCAATTATGATAGGCATCAATTATGAAAAATTATGAAAAAATTATGATTATGATAGGCATTATGATAGGATAGGCATCAAAAATTATGATAGGCATCAGCAATTATGAAAAACTTATCCAGCATGCGAAAAAATTGGTCGACAGTGATTCGATGAACCTCACAATTTTCCTGTTCCCCTTTCCCCCCTCCCGAGAATGAATCGCTTCAGTAGACTAGATCAGACGAGAAATGAGCAAACGACAGATTTTTTGTTGATGATAATTGACTCAAGTCTGTATTTTTGACTTACTGATTGATACACTTTGCATAGCAGGAACATGATGCGATGAAAGTGAACCGAATAGAGACACTGCCAGATGTGATATTAATAGAGATATTCCGATGGCTACATCCGATTGACCGAATACATTCGATATCGTTGGTATGTAAACGGTGGAATCGTTTATTGTACAAATCGAACATATGGTCATTCGTTCGCATCATTTTATCTTCTGATTCCGTTATCAAGTATCATTCTGCAAAGTTGTTTCTTTCAAAGGTTTCTTCTTCTTCACTTATCTCTATTCCATTGAAATTTTTATGTCTCACTTAGAAGGTTGTAGCTTTATTTGACGTGAAATTAAACGGTAAATTAATCAATTATTGCTTATATCTTCAAGTCAAATTACGGAGTCAACAACGGCTGCACTGTTGTAATGGTTTGGGTACTGGCTGGTGAAATGACTGAAGAGTGAAGTTGGATGGCGTCAAAGGTCATCAGACCTTTCAGACATTCATCCGTGGGTCTTTGAATTGAGAGTAGAGTTGCGGAAAGGATGCGATCACCTCAACCGGACAACACCATGCCATCGGATCGGTCGGGGTGATCATGCACTAATGCATTCACCTACAACATGCATGACTTGCGCATGCAACATTCAAACGGAGTGATATAGCTTTTTGATGTTTTCTGATGCACAGAGTTCAGAACGAATTTTTCAGCGGGCAATATAACAGATTGATATAAGTGTGTCGAAATGATCATTGGTATACGTGTGAATTCATTTTCTTAAAAATAATTTTCATGCAAACTTAAAATTTGTTTCACATACGACAGTCGTGATTGATAACTGCAGCAAGTAAGTTTCGTAGAATTGTGATGAGTTGTTAGCATTTGAGAGATGATTCAAGAAAGTGATAACCGATTGCAATTTAGATATCAAAACATCTTCAAAAGTTATGCTTATACGTTGTAAAAGATGAAAATGGTAATCCAACATCGAACGATATTGAGGATATTCTACCGAAAATACTGCCAAAACTTGTCTTACTCGATATTGGTTACTTTCCAGGTATGTTTGTTTTGGCTCTCTTTTATTTGCAGTGCTCCAAAATGATGACGATGATAATGTTGAATGCAAATGTGTCGCAGTGGGAAACTGATGCAAAAAGCGAAATATTTTCATTACAACGCTACATTATAGACATTTCTAATATGCTTGTGGAACCTGATTCGTTGGAGAGTATTCGAGAGCTGGCTGTTTCATTTCAGCAACGGTCTGATTCAGTTTATATGTTTTTCAGTAAGAACAGCTGTGATTTTTCTGCAGCTATTTTTTCCCTTCCACAGCTGTGTAATGGGGGGGGGGTTGAACTAACCTTGAGTTGGACCCACGAGAAGTAATCCATTGGCGTTAGATCCGGAGCTCTTGACGGTCAAGCAATATAACGGATCCTCGAAATGAGCATAAGTGCAGGGAATTGTTCTCGAAAAGAAGAGTTGCAGCTGTGCGAGTTGAGGCACTATCTTGTTGCATTAACACGTGTCTCAGTCCAGTCTTTCGTAACTCGGCAGTCAGAACAATACTCTTGAGTGAATACTGAAATGCTCGAATATATTGAATATTTCCCAGCTCGTTACTTGAATGCAACGCAACATATCGGTCATTTTGATAGGTTGAATAAATGTAAGCATATAAAAGCACTGTACGTTACCTATGTA